CTAGAACCGTCAAAGTATAATTTCTAAGGCCTTGTCTCTACATAACTTTCGACTACTTTGACCACTGAATGATCAACAATGAAGCCTGTGACAATCTGGCCTTTTATTGCTTTTAGAGGACCATAAGTTAATGAATAATCAGTGAGTGTTAATGCACACTTTCCTATTCGATTGTGAAGTATAGGTTTTAACAACATGTGTTTAATCATGTTGAAATGAGAATATACATTAACATCGACAAGATTTATATAATGCTTTAGTTTTGTACATGAAAAGTATAAACAAAGGCATAACTTTTCTATTGTATTATACCTAGTTTCCTCATTGTTCAAGATTCGACTGAGATAATAAATGGATTTTTCAATGTCGTTCTCGTCCTCTTAGGCTAACATACTTCTTATAGTCGAATTCGATGCAGACATATAAAATTTCATGTTCTTATTTCTAATTGGAGGTAATAAGATATGATGCTTCGTCAGATAATCCTTGATTTTGTTGAAGGCCTCTTGATGCTTGCTCCCCCAACTGAAATCACTTTTTTTTCTTGAGTTGAAGTAAAGGCGAGAAAGCCTGTGTCTTGCCACTTAAGTTGGATATGAACCATCTCAGTAAGTTTATTTTTTCCAACAAAGATTTGAGTTGTTTCTTTGTCGAGGGAGGTTTGAGATCCAATATCACTTTGTTATTGTTTTTATTAATCTTGATCCCTTTTTGTGCACCATAAACCCCCAAGAAATCTCTTGCAAGTACACAAAAGGCACATTTTAATTGATTCATTTTAATCCATATTTCCTCATCATCTCAAAGGATTATTGAAGATGGCCTAAATGACTATTTTTCGACAAGGACTTTATAACCACGCCATCGATGCAAACTTGCATGAATGTTTCAATGAAGTCATGGAACATCGAATTCATATCCCTTTGACAGGTTTCCTTAGAAATTTTTAAACCAAAGGGCATTACTATCCATTCGTAGGTTCTTAAACCACTTGGGCATCGAAAAATTATTTTAGGAACGTCTTCATCAGCTATAAAAATGTGATTATACCCTTAATATCCATATAAAAAGCTTAGATATTTAAAGCTTGCGACTGAATCCACTAACATTTCTGCCATATGCATTGGTACTCATCTTTGGGTGTAGCATTATTCAAGTCTCTAAAATTAATACATACTCCAAGAGTTCCATTTTTCTCAATAACAAACACCATGTTTGCTAACCATTCAACATACCTAGTTGTTCTTATGAACTTACTCCCAAGTGGCCTTTCAATCTCCTTTTTTATCTTCGACATGATTTCTGGGACGTGCCTCCTTTGTAGTTGCTTCACTGATTTTTTACCAGACCAAATTGGTAGCTTTATCTCCACCATGTTTCGACTCAATCCTGTCATTTCATTGTAATCCTAGGCGAAACAATCTTTGAATTACCTAAGTAACTCGACCACCTTTTTCTTCATGATTGGTTCGACCTTAGCATTGATGTAGGTTGGTCTTTTTAATACTCTATCACCAAGATCTATTTCCTCTAAGGGATCTTAGGCATGCATCTTCTTCATATAATCCATTTGGATCTTTTTAAAACCCCAAAGGCTCATTGTCGTATATTCAATCAAGCCTCCGGCTTTCTGAAGCTGTTGTTTGGCCAAATCGCCATTTTTCTCAAAATTTTCTATAATGGATTCAAGAACCATATCTTGCAACGTTTTAGCTGCAAGGGCCGAGTTTAGTATGCTTTGATCCATATAGGCTGAAATCTGAGCCAGAGCATTCGACTCAGTGGTCATGATCGTTTACCATCATCCACCTAGTAGGAGTGACACTTCCATCTTCGACAGGGTGATCTCCCACGTCTTCCTTATCGTAGATAAATCCATGGTTAGGATGTAAGTTTTGAAAGTATGTAACATCTTTTTGGGGAGTATATGTATCCTTTAATGGGTAGCATAAAGGGATTTTGTCTAAATTCTTGTCAAAGTGCTTTTTGCTGACCTTGTTAACTTCAGCCATATAATAACTTTGATCAGCTTCTATATTCTTCAATATTTCATATGGGCGCCATATTGAGATCCTTTATTGCAAAGTTGAGGGAACTGCACCAATACCATGTATCCACTCATGTCATAGAAACAAATTATAGTTTGCATTGGACGTAATCACCATAAACAATGTTGGCCTTGTTGTAATGCTTCATTTTCAAATTCTCATTGTTTTTTACATCGTCAACCTCAATCTGATACCTAGCGACATGTTCAACCATAGACTCACTAGTGTTACCAGCAAACTTGGTAAACTTGGGAACTTTTCGGCCCCTAGGAAGTACTATTTGTCTAACGTATTCTGACAAAAGGGATATAAAATTACGTCTATGAAGACCCACATTAAGGCCATTTTGGGCCAAAATTTGTTCGACCACGTAAGTTATGTTGTTATTCCCCCCAAAGTTATTTTGTTGAACATTTCTGAGTACTTGGTTGCATCATGATTTCTATGTACTATTACATGCCTAGGGTTATGCTAGCTTGTGTACTCTTTGTCCTCCCTATTTGGGGTAGGTTCTGGTAGTCAAAACCCCTAATGTTGGCCTAGGTTTACATGGTTTGTCCCATTGTCAGGCGTTTTGGCTTGCCTAACATTTGATATTTAAGAGGTAGGTTGAACCTGAATCTGAGGGGTGCCGAAAAAATCACCTATTCAACCCATCTGATTGGCCTACAACGCATATGTTTGGTTAGCATTTGTAATCAAAGGATTGAGTATTTTACTGATTTGTTGGGTCAAAGTATTAACCATTTCAAGATTTCTTTCATGCATTTGTTGCCTCATAACGCTAGTGCAGGAAACACTTTTTACATCGAGCATAAAACACTTTTTACATCGGTTCTGGATGCTATGTAAAGCCAAGCGATGTAAAAAACCAAAGACATTTCACATCGATTTTCGGTCCGATGTGAAATGTATTTTTAACATCGGTTGGAGTAGAGGATGGATGTAAGATTATGGTTTTTACATCGGTTGAGAGGCAGAACCGATGTAAAAAGTAATTTATTAAAAGGGATTTTACATCGGTTGTGAGCTAGGCCCGATGTAAAAAGTACATTTTCTGATTAGTTTTTACATCGGTTGGGAGGCAGAACCGATATAAAAAATTAAACCCATAGGATTTTACATTGGTTTCCTATAAGGACCGATGTAAAAAGTCTGCTACTTTCATAAAGGTTTTTTCTATATTTTAGCCGAATTGAGGTGGAATTCCTGTAATTTTCTGTGGTACCTAAATTTTCATTTTTTCCAACATCAGACCACCTTTAAGTCTCTATTTGTATCAAATTTTTCATATTTTTTTCAACCAATCTATTAGTTTCATTGCACCAATTCGTTATCTAGGATGCACTTCAAAATTAACAATTCAAAAGTACCAATCTAGGATACACACAATTGTATAACATTATAATTATTTTTAAACGGTCGACTACTAGAACAACAAAACCAGTGGAAACATACAAATATATACAACTAAGTTTCAGTAGACAACACCAAAATCACATTTGCTGACAATTCTATATAACTCACCAGATAAAGCTTAATTTTTATATAACTCAAAGAAACATTTTGCCCAACAGAGTCTCAAATCATACAAATCATCTTGTGTTAATTCTGTTGGGTCATCAAATACCTACAATATGTAAATAACAATATAAAATTATTCTTTGAAAAATCAAATTAAGTTGCAAACGCAAAGTAAATAACAAAGTAAAGTTATTTTCTTAACCTGCATCCAAGATTCAGTTATATTGGCAGAGACAATATCCAACATATTTTTCATAAGACAATATCCACAATCAAAAGAGTTACGTTGTTGTCTTGTCTACAAATAAATGACATGATTAGTAAATACTTATGGTAAAATTAAATATATAGAATTATAATTTACACCACGCTTACTTTGGGTTGTAGCCATGTAGCCTTTTTTCTATTGCCATTTGCCATTTGATAAACTCCAAAAGCACTAATTCAGGAAAAAATATCCATATAAAGCCATATAAAATATGAAATTACTTTGTAACAAATTATGTATATAGGATATATAATAAGTTATAAATCACATAAAAGATAAACTTATTTTGTAATAATTTTCTTCATGGTTTGATTAAGTTTCTGATGAAGTGAACAAAGACCACAGTATTTTCTCTCGGACAAATGATGACTAATTTCCAATGATCTCTGTACGTGTGTGGAAACACAAAAGTCACATAAAATATCTATGTTATCAAAATTAAAAAGAAATAGAAAAGACAGCTGCATACAAATTTACCCGTGAATAAATGGTAGTAAGTGACACACTCTCTGTTCGTCACGTAACTTATCTTGTATGTATCTTTTTACATCTGCTTCAGTTTTTGGCACATTATCAACATATATACACCTAGGAGGGTCCATAAATCCATATATTTTTGATGTGGAATTATCAATACATAAACGATGAATATACCTGAATAATTTTAAAATAAACATTATAAAAAATGATAAGAGATTTAACATATTAATAGATAATGATAGTAATGAAAAACTAAAATTGTACTTACGTGCAACAAACTTGCAGAGTAAACACGTCAAGCCAATGAAAATCCACCAACAATTCCCTGATACACTTAGCTGACATATAAAAATTAACGACACTCTCACAATGACTTAAATTAATTTCCAAGTGTGTGTCACCCATTTTCAAAACCATGAGTAACAATCTCTGAACATCGTCCTCCACTTCTTTTGTGCTTCCTTTTGCAGCTGAACATCTTCCCTTTCTGCTTCCATCGACAACTTCCACATGTTCAATGCATTTCTTATTTTCTATGCTTTGCGATAAACCCATAGACTTAAGTGTCTCCATAAAATATTGTTGCATGGCCTTACGCTCTTCAACCAACTTTTGATCAAAATCAGCTCTAAGTTTTGCTTCCAATTCAGATGAAAATTGTGCAAGTTGTTCTTTTACATCTATATGTTGTTGCTGTGAAGACGACCTTCCAAATGTGTAAAATTTGTGCATCCTGGGTAAAACTTTAAATTAAACAATTCGGTAAACCTTTTGTCAGTCCATCCATTATTCACCTTCAAATTAAACAATTTTAACACGGCTGACAAACGTGTAAAATTTGTGCATCCTGGGTACAAAGGTTTATCCTTGTCACTACATAAAGTATCATACGCATGTGCTCTCTTAAACGAATCTTGTCCAATATCACGCATCATGTCTTCCAAACAATCATCCATTTCTACGCTAACATTATCTCTTTGGGACACATTTGAATTTTCTAATACTTCACCGTGCCATATCCATTGCGTATAACTTTGACAAATCCCTTCATAAATTAGACGATCCATTATTTCTTTCTTATTAAGTTTTGGTTCTTGATTTTCACAAAGAACACATGAACATAGATAAAGTAGATGATTACTTTTTTCAGCATTACTTTTAGGAGGAGGAAGATTTTTTTTAGCATTCCTTTCATCAAACTGTAGAAACTTCATCACTCCATTTTCGTACTCAGCACTTAATCGATTAGCTCTCATCCAACTACGATTCATACCTATGTTCCGAAATTAATGCATACATAGTTAAATTATTGGGATTCCTATAATAGCTAAAAAAATTCTATTACTCAAAAATAAAAATTCTATTCATAACAAAAACTATTCCTAACAAATTTCTATTACTTAAAAATTCTATTACCTAAGAATAAAAATTCTATTCCTAAAAAAAACTATTCCTAACAAATTTCTATTACTTAAAAATTCTATTACTCAATAATAAAATTTTTATTCCTAACAAAAACTATTACTAACAAATTTCTATTACTCAAGAATCAAAAATACCATAAATATCAGAAACCAAAAATACCATAAACCAGTGTCAGAAACCAAAAATATCAGAACTAGGAAACCAAGAATAAACCAGTGTCAGAAACCAAAAATATCATAAACTAAAAATATCAGAACTAGGGAAAAAAACCAGTGTCCGAGATGCAGTAATATACAGTTACCGTAGTAAAAAAAAACTGGAGATGAAACCAAAGAGTTGCGGTAGTGGAGAAACCAGCACATGCAACGAAGGAGAGGAAGAAGATGAAGTGATTCGGCGCCGCGATGCAAAGACGAAACAACACGATGAGAAGATTCGGCGGCGCGATGCAAAGATGGCGGCGCAAGCAAAGACGAACGACGCGATGAGAAGACGGTGCGAAAAAAGGAACAGGGACGGCGGAGAGAAGAGAGGAACAGTGTATCGAGTGTGTGAGAACAACAGCGCGGAGAGAAGAGAGGAACAGTGTATCGAATGTGTGAGAACAACGTTTCTAAAAAATGAAATAATGAATTCTGTGTTTCTAAATATTTTATATATAAGGGTTTTTTACATCGGGCCATGCCCCAACCGATGTAAAATGTCAGTTCAATACATTTTACATCGGGCCATTCAACATAACCGATGTAAAAACAAATTAATTATTTTATTTTTTGTTTTTTAAAACCGTTTACATTGGTTTTAAAGTACCGACCTATGTAAAAATTTATTTTAATTTTTTAATTTATTTTTTCAATCCGTTAACTTTTTTACATCGGTTGGGAAACTTGGACCGATGTAAAAGACCAATTATTTTTATAATTTTATTTTATTATATTTTTTGTTGGACAACATTTTACATCGGTTTAGTTCCAAAAACCGATATAAAATCAATTATAAAAAATCTCATGTTATTTACGAAACCGTCACCTTGTAATTTTTTTTATTAGTTGATTTTTCACATCGGTTTCGTATCCAGGCCCGATGTTAAATCCCTTATAACAAATTTTTTAAATAATTACGAAACTACCACCTTGTTAAAATTTGGTGTAAAATCATTTTTCAATTACTTTTTACATCATATCTTTGAAAACCTGATGTAAAATCATTTAATCTAATGTCTTATTTTTAGTAATGTAACCATCATAGACGTCATATTTAATGATGGTGTTATCTGAGGTCCCTCTTGGTCGAACCATATTATTTATGGTTGGTGTCGAGACGTTCTAGGGATTAAAATTTTATGAATCTCGGAAACAAAATTTTATTCAATGATGTTTTTTGTAATGTAGGTGACGTGGGAAATCAAATTTTTGTCTTGGAAGTGAAATGTCATTAGAAAAATTGCTAAGTACAACTGTTACTTTTATGAATTATGTGTAGCACCTATAGTTTATCTTAAATGTTGAAGTTGACGTGTAATTTCTTTGGCGTCAGTTTGTAATAAGTTACCTCTTATACTCTATGTTTTCTTAATAATATTCCTTGCTTATCAAAAAAGAAAGGAAAGAAACTAATATAATAAAATATAAATATTTATTAATATAATAATATTAAAATATAATATTTAAAATATGTAAAAAAATTACAATATTTAAATTAAATTTTTAATGAAATATTCTAACAAGTAGTTATTATCTTTTATAAGAGTAATTATTTGTAATTAATTTGACATTAATAATACTTTCTAGATAACAAGTAGATTATTTAGCAACACTAGAAAACATCTTTAATAACTTACTACGTCTTAAATTAAGTATTATATTTGAATATTTTATACAGATTAAAAAAGTGTGATAAATGAATGAGAGATAATATCAATTTTATCATATTATTTTTGTTAACTATTGATGTATTTTAATGATTATAAATGATATGTGAGAGAATAGTAAATTAAGGGCGGGATGCATCTTTTGATCCTTTTAACTTAATTTAAGGTTTCATTTTAATTCCTTATTTAATATATGTTACTTATTTGTCCCTTAACAACACTTCCATTAACCAACTTAATCCTTTCCGTTAAATCTTAGTGAAAAACATTAACTTTGGTCAATATGACAGTCTTGTTGGTATTTTGTTATATGATGTTGCTTTTTTATTTATTTTGAATTTATTGTTAATTGTAATCAAACAATGAACTTCTCTTAACCATGTTTCAATTGTAATCAAATCACTTATCTTCAAAGAACAACAAAATCCTCTTTACATCTTTCTCCAAACCAACTCTATTGAGAATCCATTGTATTGATTTTGAAGTCAATGCTCATCACTTCTTCTCATCTCTCATATGGAGGGGAAAAATAAGTGAGGAAGATAACCTTAAACCCTAGAAGATGAAATTTTAAGATTCTGTTTGCAATTTGGTTGATTTTTGTTGGTTTTAAAGGAGGTATCATCTTCTTTACTCTTATTTATTATGGTTTACTCTTTTCTGATGCTTTATTAGGGTTTCAATGCCAATCTTCTATTTCAGATTTATGACTTTCAATTAAAGCTTTATGGAGCAGTAAATTGGAAATCGGTGTTGTTATGCTCTCTAGTGTTTATTATATGTTTGAGTCTTTTAATGTGTTGCATTATCACAGTTAGATCTATTTGGAATAGATAGGAATAAAGTGTCAGGGCAAGCTTCAACTATAATTCATTTTATTTTTGATTTGCTTCTTTCTCATGTTCATGTCATTAAACTCGACATTCTTTTGGATATGCATAACTCTTCAGGGACTAGAGACCCCAATGGTGAACCCTTAGTATTCATCTACAACAAGTGCTTCTTAGGCATTGTTGACTACATTTGGTACGTACTAAGTTCTAAAATTTTGGATGTACAGAACTCATCCTTAGTAGACTTTTACAAAAGATGAAATTAGTTTATGCATCTCAATGGTTTTAGAAGCTCTATTATCCAACTTCTTTTTAAGGGCGTTAGTTGTTTGTTAAGAATTAAATACTTATAAGAGAGAAGCTAATCTAAACTGGGATTAGTCATTATAGAAAAATGACAACATCGACAAAAGGGTACATGTTTTCATTTTGTGTATAATTTATGTTTGTTCTGCGTGATAGAAAAAATGTTTCATTGCGATTTTGTGAAGGATAATTGGACACTTAAATGAATCGTTGAGTTTTTTTTTATTTTTTAAGATGAGTTTTGAGAAGATTAAAAATATAGAAATATAGAAACATAGAAACCTATCAGCTACTTATAGAATTGTTGGATTAGGAATGTACTCAGACTTAGAAGTATGTTGGTGAGAAGTATAGAATTGTTGGACAAGGAATGTATTCAAACTTAAAAGTATGTTGATGAGAAGTATGTTGCTAAATGTGAATAAGCATATGTGAAATATTGTTCTAAAGATCAAATATGCTGTTGAATTAAAGGCTCTTATAGCCTTGGTAGTTTTCATTTGTCCATGACATGTTTTTATTGCAGTTTGAAAAAGCTTTTAGTAAAATTATTAATTCTTCAGAAGCTCTTAATTTTATTTTTATATTTCTCATGAATTTACTCTTTTATTTTTTTTGTTTGTTTCCATTATTTTATACTAATGCATTTGATAGTAGTGAAATGAGACAAGAATAGAAGTTTCTTGTATGCTTGCCTTAAACTAAAGTCAATTACGCATGAGTAATACCTTTCATTGGTTCTTGTAATCATTGATCTACGTAGTCAAAAATTTCCTTTTTGCAACTTGTAATACATGGACCCTCTTGAAGGAATAGTATGCTTTACCCATTGTGAACACTTTGACAAAGCAAGGAAAGGAACATAGTAGTTAGGCTCGTAGAAAAATAGACGCTACTTTAATCTTCACTTTGGTATCTTTGAATTCATCGAATCATATCACACCTAGAAACCTCATTTTTCAAATCAGTCATCATCATAAATTAAATTCTACACTCTTTTGAACTTTCCAAGCACTTATTTTCTTTTTTGTGAAAGTTCGTCGCCAGTTTCATTTCAACCATGCAGGCATAGATTAGATAACTATTCTACGTGTAACAAATTTGACGTAGACAACCTTGCTACTGCCAAGAACCACTATAAATATGGAACTAACTCTAATTTGATAAACCACACCAATCTTCACAAACATAAACCCTAGAGCTAGCTAGCTTACTGAAACTTCCTTGTTAGTAGAGAATTTAGCTAATGGCACCTTTAAGTTTTCCTAGATTAACCATGATCATGAGTATGACTCTCTTTGTTCTCATCATAGTAGGGAGTGCAAATGCACAACTTTCTACAAGTTTTTACTCAACATCTTGTCCTAAACTATCTTCCACGGTGCAATCCACTATGCAATCTGCCATATCAAAGGAGGCCCGAATCGGTGCTTCCATCCTTCGGTTGTTCTTCCACGATTGCTTTGTCAATGTAAGTCTTCTCATGTCTCAATATTCGTTGATATATAAGGCCAAACTCTTATCATGCATGCATTGAACCATTGTGAACACGGTGAATAAGTTACATATATTACTTGAGATTACAGGGATGCGATGGATCAATTCTATTGGATGACACATCAAGTTTTACCGGGGAGAAGAACGCTAACGCTAATAGAAACTCTGCTCGTGGATTCGAAGTTATCGATAACATAAAAACAGCCGTAGAGAACGTCTGTCCCGGAGTTGTATCTTGCGCTGATATTCTTGCCATTGCTGCTGCAGACTCTGTTGCAATTGTAAGTGTAATCATATAACAATGAATCAAAATCTAGGTAGCGCACTAAACATGCAAAGG